AGTGACATGTATCCAGCTCTGATTTGAACATTATTGAGCTCCTAAACTGCAGTGCATGCACAGATTTAAATGAAACTTGAGCTGCATGCACACAAAAATGACAGTAATTAAAGTCATTTGTGTGTCAGTCAAATCACTTTAGTTCCTCATAAATTGCTCATTTGTAATATACACCTTCCAGTTTGGCTTGATCAGAAGCTTCCACATAAATGTCCAACAAATGTGAAATGTCCTCATCTCTCCACTGAACCCTGTCGCTGTTGTTTCTCTAATCTGATTACAGTATTTGTGCTAGTCTGAGAGGCTGACAATGAATCATTTCAACAGATGATATGTTCATGCACAGAGGACTGAGACATAAAAAAAACATGAATTCTGATCTGTCCATTCTGACAGTGGTCACATTAAATCTGATTTGAGTCATATCAGTGTAGCTTAATATGTTTGAAAACACATGTACACTATGAGCCCATTATGCAAAGGTTCAACCCTCCACAATCTTTTTCCTACACCTCTCTAGGCTTTAGTGTGATGTATAGTTTGGCAAGCATGTGTGCTTGTTGATGCGTCCATCGCCCTTCGAGTGTCACACCTGGCTGTCAGTTTGATCATTTTATCTTCACCAGCATCATTAAATTGCTGTATTGGGTGAAGTAGTGCAGGGACTTCATCCTTTTCTCTCTGCAGTGTACCATCACTTCTTCCCACACTTTGATATACATTAACAGCAGTGCCAACATCCTCTGCTGAGTTCCCCCAGCATCACATTTCGAATGTGCCCCCACAGTAACTGGTCCTTGACATCATTAGATGTTCGATGCACTGTTTCTCAAAATATTTACATTTGTAAGAATGGAGATTTGGTTGGAAATAACAGGGTTTGTAAGGCCAAATAATGTGAAAACAACCACTTTTACTCCTACACAGGCATATACAAACAGTTTTATCCACTTCCAGTGAAAATCTATTCAGTTCTGTTCTAATTATGTACTGATGTCTTGGTCAGTTGTTATATCTGTGTTATCCGTCATTGTGTTCTTTGTAATACAACTAAGAAATACGTTAATGTCTTTGGAGACACACCATGTGAGTACATGTGCTACAGTCCCTTGGTGTATTCACAGTGATGACATACTGTAAATGTAGGCCTAATTTAAAGCAATTTATTCAGACAGGGTTTCTCCCAGGTGTATTAGAAGCCTTGTTCTTTTCCATGTACAGCAGCAATTGGACAACCACAGCTTCAACCAGAGTAGATTAGATGTCGATCATAGATGTAGTTGATTTAGACAGAGCCATAGAACTAGTGTGTTCAAGTCAACAGATAAGGAATCCAAAAGCGCTATGTTTTTGTGCATTTGAGGCAACAACATACTACAGGTTTAAATTCCACGTTCCATTAAGGAATAAGACTAGCTGTCAATATGTCTGTAGTGTAGCTATTTCTTAGAACTCTTGCAATCTCAAGATATTGTATTTGGGGATCGTGGCTGGGTGGTAACGCGGTAACCCCCCACCCCCCCGTGTCTGGCTTCTGGTGGGCTTCAGGTAGCCTACGGCACCCTGCTAATGAACAGTGACAGCCGCACTGGCTGTTGCCCTGGTCTGTGGTTCATGCTGTTCTGTGGTAGACCCGCTGAGCCCTTCTCTTCATGCAGCAGCATACCAATGCTTTGTGCTCCAGCTCTGTCTTGTCCATGCTGTGCTATGTTCCTCCATGTTCAGAATAACAATGCTGTGAACCTTATCAGTGACTTTGTTGAAGTATAAAAAGTTGCTGAACTTGTATATACATAACATATCTAAAGGGCTTATTCACAGAGAGACTGTTGTGTAGCATGTTCCTACTGACTGTGGTTTCTCACAAGCTGTACAGCTACAGAGTTGCCCAAACTGTCATTTTCACGTACGTGAGCCATCAAACCTGCACATTACCTCTTCCTATATCAAGACTCCTAAGCAATGGAGACTTAGATGATCAAATTTATTTGCAGATTTCAGGCCAAAGGAATGAACTATTGATTTTTTTGCTGGTAGATTTTTACGTATGCAGTGCTGAGGATTTTCTTTTTTTTTTTTTTTTTAGTATTTTAGCTTTGAAGCCAAAATTACAAGAACCTTTTCTCCCAAGAAAGTTTCAGTTGAGACTAGCAGCAAGAGCCATCAAACTCAGTGCACAGTTTTGGTGTACAAGACAAATTGCAGAATTTTGATCACACAGTCCCCTAATGATATATACAGTATCACCCAGAGCACCATAGGTGGAGTTTCAACTCAAGCACAAACAGCCAACTGTATAAACTACTCTAATCCAAATGGAACACTGCCACATGGTAGCTCTCCAAACATTTCAGCTGCCAAGGGAGCCCCCAACCATATTGTCATAAATGGTGAGCCTTCAGCCTGAGGTGACAGAGCAGCCAGGATGAAGTAGGGTGTTTGCAGTAAAATGATTAAAGAGATAAAGATGAAAAGACTTTTTTTGTCCTGATACCAGCAGATTGATGGTGGGAAAAGCAGGCAGGATTTGTTTTCATCAGGGAGGAAAATGACAGTTTGGGCAACTCTGTGGCTTGTCACAATCAGGAAAGTGTTAGCTATGTTTCCTCTTGAAATTCAGCTCAGGCAACTTTTTTCCCAGGTCTTGGAAACAGCACTTGTTCATCAGTGGATTGTTGGTGCTACATGAAGCTGCAGCCTTTTACTTGAAGTGTTCTTGTGGCTTGGAGGAGCAAAGCAAGGGAAAGGAAATACTCTCATGAAACTTTTAAATCATCCTTTGTTACTATTTGCCATCCAGGGCAAGCCTATGGAGAATATCAAGCAACTACACTATAAACGATCTGTATGTTGCACTGCTGCACTACAAGAAAGGACAGTCCACAACCAGAAATGTTTTCTCTTTCCATTTGAAATGCAAATAGGCCCTGAAACCATGTAATCGTCCTCTCAACAGTTTGTTCCATATGCAGAACAGAATTAGGACTTAATATGTGTTCAGCCAAGCTAATAACTGGATGTTAAAGGTAAAGCTAGGTAATAGCTGTGTTTGCCAGATGTTTAAGCTAATCTGATGTCTCGCCTTGACTAACAGCCTGCCTGGGGAGGCTGTACTTGTGCTTGAAGCTTCAGTATGTTGTTTTTAAATACCTGGCCATAAAATCCCTGGCTCCTCTGTTGTTATTTTGTCTTTTACATTTTTATTTTCTTTTCTGAATGCAATTTGTGGAGTTTAGAGAATGTGTGAATGGCCCATTACAGCAACCTAACAGACCAAACCTTTTCTTTT